TTGCTCTTAGTAATATATTGGTGGACGGAAAAAGACTCTCATCTCCTTCCTTAACAATCATACATCATACATGCAAAGCAAGCCCGCTTCATCTGAGCTATGTTGCCTAGTGATAAGTCAAGACAACTTGTTGCTTTTAGAAATATATTGGTAGAAGGAATAAGACTCTCATCTCATTCCTTAACAATGTTCTATATGGTCCTGTGGTTGGGTGTCGTGGAGGACCGAAAACGCATTTCATCTCAGTGGTTAACAAGCTCCCATATGGTCTAGCGGTTAGGATTCCTGGTTTTCACCCAGGCGGCCCGGGTTCGACTCCCGGTATGGGAACATTCATTTTATAACTGCTCATTAGTAAAATGTTTAATCTTTCAGCTGATTATAATGACTTTTGAAAAGCCACAAAACTTTGGAAGATGCTGGGGATAGATCCCAGGACCTCAATCACGCAAAGCAAGCAAGTTTCCTCTGAGCTTCGTCCCCTACTGATAAGTCAAGACAACTTGTTGCTCTTAGTAATATAATGGTGGACGAGAAAAAGACTCTCATCTCCTTCCTTTACAATGTTCCATTTGGTCTAGTGGTTGGGTCTCCTGGAGGACTGAATACGCAATTCATTTCATTGGTTAGCAAGGTCCAATATGGTCTAGTGGTTAGAATTCCTGGTTTTCAGCCGGGTGGCACAGGTTTAACTCCCGTTATGAATTTTATAACCGGTTATTGGAATACGCCTCGCATCTAGATTTACCACACATTGGTAAATTGCTGCTTAATCTTTAAGTTATTTGTAATGAATTTGAAAAGCCACAATAATATTTGGAGATGCTGGGGATTGAACCCAAGACCTCATACATGCAAAGCATGCGCTCTACCACTGAGCTACATCCCCTACCTCAGCAAGACTCTCATCTCCTTCCTTAACAATGTTCCCATATGGTCTAGTGGTTAGGATTCCTGGTTTTCAGCCAAGAAAACGTGTTGCTTTTAGTAATATATTGGTTTTACGGAATAAGACTCTCACTCATTCCTTAACAATGTTCCATATGGTCTAGTGGTTGGGTGTCGTGGAGGACCGAATATGCATTTAATCTCTTTGGTTAAACAGGTCCCATAGGGTCTAGTGGTTAGAATTTCTGTTTTTCACCCAGGTGGCTCGGGTTCAACTCCCGGTATGGGAACATGAATTTTCTAACCGGTTATTGGTAAAATGTTTTATCTTTTTCAGCTGTTTATAACTACTTTTGAAAAGCCACAAAACGCATCTAGATTTACCACACATTGGTAAATTGTTGCTTAATCTTTTAGTTGATTACAATGACTTTTGAAAAGCCACAAAACTTATGGAGATGCTGGGTATTGAATCCAGGACCTCAATCTTGCAAAGCAAGGGCGCTTCCTCTAAGCTACGTCCCCTACTAATAAGTGAAGACAACTCGTTGCTCTTAGTAATATATTGTTGGACGGAAAAAGACTCTCATCTCATTCCTTAACAATGTTCCATATGGTCTAGCGGTTGAGTGTTGTGAAGGACCGAATACGCAATTCATCTCAGTTGTTAACAAGGTCCCATATGGTCTAGCGGTTAGGATTCCTGGTTTTAGCCCAGGTGACCTGGGTTCAACTCCTGGTATGGAAACATGCAAATGTGACTTTTGAAAAGCCACAAAACTGTGGAAGATGCTGGGGATAGATCCCAGGACCTCAATCATGCAAAGCAAGCTAGTTTCCTCCAAACTTCGTCCCCTACTGATAAGTCAAGATAACTTGTTGCTCTTAGTAATATAATGGTGGACGGAAAAAGACTCTCATCTCCTTCCTTTACAATGTTTCATTTGGTCTAGTGGTTGGGTCTCCTAGAGGACTGAATACGCAATTCATCTCATTGGTTAGCAAGGTCCAATATGGTCTAGCGGTTAGAATTCCTGGTTTTCAGCCAGTTGGCACAGGTTTAACTCCCGTTATGGGAACACACATTTTATAACCGCTCATTGGTAAAAAGTTTAATCTTTTAGTTGATTACAATGACTTTTGAAAAGCTACAAAACATTTGGAGATGCTAGGGATTGTACACAGGACCTCATCCATGCAAAGCATGCGCTCTACCACTGAGCTACATCCCCTGTTGTCCAGTTTGTCAACTTGGAGTAGAAATCTTTCGTAGTATAATGTAGCACGGAATACCCCTCACATCTAGATTTACCACACATTGGTAAATTGCTGCTTAATCTTTAAGTTATTTGTAATGAATTTGAAAACCACAAAAATATTTGGAGATGCTGGGGATTGAACCCAAGATCTCATACATTCGAAGCATGCGCTCTACCACTGAGCTACATCCCCTACCTCCGCAAGAATCTCATCTCCTTCCTTAACGATGTTCCCTTTTGGGAGGACCGAATACGCAATTCATCTCATTGGTTAGCAAGGTCCCATATGGTCTAGTGGTTAGGATTCCTGGTTTTCAGCCAAGACAACGTGTTGCTTTTAGTAATATATTGGTGGACGGAATAAGACTCTCACTCATTCCTTAACAATGTTCCATATGGTCCAGTGGTTGGGTGTCTACCACTGAGCTATATCCCCTGTTGTCCAGTTTGTCAACTTGTAGTAGAAATCTTTCATAGTATAATGTAGCATGGAATACGCTGCGCATCTAGATTTACCACACATTGGTAAATTGCTGCTTAATCTTTAAGTTATTTGTAATGAATTTGAAAAGCCACAAAAATATTTGGAGATGCTGGGGATTGAACCCAAGACCTCATACATGCGAAGCATGCGCTCTACCACTGAGCTACATCCCCTACCTCAGCAAGACTCTCATCTCCTTCCTTAACAATGTTCCCATATGGTCTAGTGGTTA